TAAATATATATATGTATATATATATTTTAATATATATATATATTTTTATATATATATATATATATATATATATATATATATATATATATATATATATATATATATATATATATATATATATATATATATATATATATATATATATATATATATATATATAAAATCAATAGAATATGTATACATATTTAAACAATAGAATCCGTGTATAATATATTTAATTTTTATGGATATATTCAAACAATATAGATTTTATTTCCTTTATACTAATTAATATTGATTTAATCTTTTATATTTATGTAGGTTATCTATAATTAATATAAATTAGGCATATAAATATGTTCCTAATCGAAATTTATGCAGTTTATTTATAGGAAATTGCTTACTTTTATTTCATTACATGTAATATGAATAGTTATTAACTATAATTTACTCTAACTATTAATTAATTATATTCCATTTATTATGATTTAGGAAACAATAGAATCCGTATACACAATATATATATATATATATATATATATATATATATATATATATATATATATAAAGGGTCGAGTTTTTAATTTTCTTCCATTCTCTAAAATTATTGATAATGATGTTCTACAAGTTACGGTTAAACACATCAATTTAATGATTGAGCAAAATAATTTTTGCAATCTTTATCTTTCGATTATAGGTGAGGAAATTATATCTTTACATGATAAAATTGACAAAATATTATCTCAAACTAAGACTGAGACTAAGTCTGATTTACTTGATAAAAGTACCATTGTTAAGACTGCCTCTTCTATACAGTCTCCTGTTGAATTAAACAATTTCAAAATTGAACCCTCTGTTTCTGATTTTGAAAAAATCATTTCTAGTAAATTCAGTAAATTAAATATTTCTACTTTAAATAGTGATTTTGAAGAAAGTCCTGGCACTAGCTCTATAAAATATGACAATACAGATAGTATTAATAAAATGAGATGGGCCGATAAGCCCAATCTTTATAAATTCTATTATAATAGACCAACTCCTATGGATGTTCTTCGTGAAGAACAAGAAAACTTCTTCAATACTTCTTATTCGGGAAAAAGCATCTATGAATGGAATATTGATGGCGGTAGTGATAAACATATTTTTACTCAATGCCATCGTATGCTTATGTATAGTTCTGCTTGCAGAATTAGTGGTAATAATGATTTACAAACAGCTCAAGCTATTACTGTTGGTTTTACTGGCCAGCTTAAAGGATGGTGGGATAATTACTTAAATAATTTAAATAAACAAGAAATTTTCTCTTCTATTAAAATTGAAGATGGTGAAAGTAAACCCAATGCGGTTTACTCTCTTGTTCTTACCATTCTCGAGCATTTTACTGGTAGATTTACTAATAAATCCGAAAACACCAAAACTCTTCTTTTAAATATGAAGTGTAAAACCCTTACCGATTTTAGATGGTACAAAGATACTTTTCTATCACGTATTTTTGATATTCCTGACTGTAATCAGGATATTTGGAAAAACAAGTTTATTGATGGTCTTCCTTACTTATTTGCTGAAAGGATCAAAAAAGTCCTTAGAAAAGACTCAGATCATATTGCATATGAGGCTTATACTTTTGGCCAAATCGTTAGTACTTGTATTCAAGAAGGATTAAGTCTTTGTAATGAAATCAAATTAAGAAATCAGACCAGTAAGGATAATCTGTTAGAAAGAAAACAGTTAGGTCATTTTTGTGACCAGTTTGGCCTTGACAATCCTGGCAAAAAAGATTCTCATAAGAAAAGAGAATTTAATAGTAAACCTAATTATAGGAAAAGAATAAGACATTATGATAATAAACAGATTAACCATTCTAAAGATAAGCAAGATAACGACAAGGGAAGAAATCGCTATCATGGAAAGAAGTCCTATAAAAAGGATAGTAATTTTCTTAGCAAAATTATTTGCAGAAAATGTGGTAGAACAGGTCATTATGCTAATCAATGTTATGCTAAAGATAAGATTAAAAATCTTGATATTGATGACGATTTAAAAGAAACACTTTATAAAATTGTCATGAATTCTGAGGATGATACAGATTCTAATAAATTTGGTTCCTCTGAAGAATCGGATTTTTCCGATGATACTTCTACTAAGAGTGATGAATGTAATAATTGTGCTCTTGGTAAACCATGTCTTAATTGCATCAAAGATACAGATAATCCTGTTGAAGATGAATATTATAAACTCATGAGTCAGTTCCAAGACCTGAATATTAATGTGTTAACTAATAATAATATTCTTGACTTTCTTAAACAGATTAAGGATCCTAGTTTAAGAGATAAGGTCATTGATCAGTTACAAGATTCTGGTCCCTCACCTAGTAATACTAGCACCAGTCTCTCTAGTAAAATTGATAATAATTATTACAATATGGGAGAATTAGATAACCTTCTTAAGCTTAGGAATATCAAGAATAGTCCTATCACTATCAATGATTTGAGTCAAGAGATTTATAATCTTAAAAATGATATTAAGATTCTTCAAAAGAATAATTCTGAATTTTCGTCGCGTCTTTCTATTGTTGAGAAAGGCAAAGAGAAGGAAACTTTTACAGCTCAGTCTCAGTTTATTAACCCCGATGAGTTTGTCAATTTAGATAAAAATCATTTATCTACCATTAATATTATTATTTCTCAAAAATGGTACACCAAAATTTCTCTCCTTATTAATAATTCTTACAAGGAAGACTTCATTGCTATGATTGATAGTGGAGCTGACCTAAGTGTTATTCAAATGGGAAAAATTCCCACCAAGTTTTTTGAAAAAACTACACATTCTCTTTCTCACGCAGGAGGCGGATCATTAAAAATTAACTATAAGCTTAAAAATGCTTATGTTTGTATCGAAGGTTGTTGTATTGCTAATGACTTTCTTATTGCTGAAGATATTACTAGTCAAATGATTATTGGCC